TAGGTGTCTCGAAGCATTACGGGGTCAAGGCCAATCTCAACACCAGCTTCTTGGCTGTCATCTGGATCAGCGTCGCCTTCGCTATCGGTGCCGGTCTTTTCTGGCTATTCTCCGTCTGCTGCTGCAAGCCAGAGAACCGCCCTCATGGCAAACGTCACTTGGACAGCGAGAAGAATATGCCAACTGGCTCCTACGCCCCCCTCGGCGAAAACCACGGTTCTGGTTACGGCGGTTACAACTACGGCGCCCCCCAACGCGGTGGCGCTCGATCAGATCTCGCTTACGAGCCATACTCTCATTCCCGGGTCTAAGCGGGATGTCGACAAACATAATGACCAACGTTTGTCGTGTGAGATTAGACTAGAGGGTTTTTATTTCTTCAGTTTGCATTGCTGGCGCTTGGTTGGGTTACGATTGGGTTAAACGACCAGAGTGTGTTCTAGGGGGTTTGTAAGAGTCAATACGTGCCTCGGTATACCCAGGGCACTTCGATAAATCGATACCGTAATGAAATACATGACCACGTTTATAATGAGATTGTGCTTCGTATCATCTCGTAGGCGCTACGTGAACTTGTGTAATTGTTACGAAAGCTTCAAGAGCGCTAATCACGTGCTTGGGTATTGAGTACACCAGAGTCCCGTTCCCTAGAAATTATAGCCCCGTCAGTAACTTCTCATGGTAGAAAAGCCGTGTCCTACGAAACGAACCCTTCAAGCTGCCGTATGGCACCGTTATGAAGATGTCTCAAGAGGTAAGTTACATATATACTTTTCGTTTGTTCAGGGAGAAAAATCATTCATGTGCCAAGGCCCCACAACACGAGTCCCACCAAAACCTTAAGAAAATGAACGATATGAAAAGACATGCTTGAAAGCTATGATGTATGAAAAGAATGCACTTTCGTATGGTGCGGTCACTAACGTTTAACACACACAGGCGGCACCTCACGGCCTGCTCCGCCGCGAGTATGTACTGAGCCCGATCACGGCGCTTGCGTTTCTGACGCTGGGTGAGAAGCAATACCTGCTCGCGGCCGAAGACACAGATATAAAAATCTACGATGTCGCGGCCTCACGGCTCTGTGGCACATTGCCGGTCTTCTACGCGCAGCCTATCCACGGGATTTCCGTCCCTCCAGCTACTGAAGACCGTGGCAGCTCCGGCGGTTCTATAAGCCCTTCCCAGATTCTCGTCTGGGGCGGCCATGCCGTCAAAGTACTACCTACCCATATCGTAGAGGAGCTAGTTTGCGCCAGCTTTATAAATGGCAATGATAGCGCTCTTGAGAAATCCGGCTCGGTGAGCGCGGCACTCTCCGTGCCCGAAACTACAGCCCCTGATTGGATTTTTGACGGCCGTATCTCACCCTTTGACGATAGTCGCGTCGTTCTGCTTACGGCGCATAATGAAGTCATTCAGGGACATGTAAGCGCAGACCAGAATATGCTTATTTTGGGTCGGGTACAGTCCCCTTCGCGGCCGATCTTGTACTCTGGGAACTTCTTCTGGGCCGATCAGAACTGCGTGCTTATCGCTGCAGGCACCGTCTTTGGCGAGATTGTGGTTTGGAAGTGTCACCTCAACTCTAATGGCGACGCTGATGGTTACGGTCGCACTACGGGGATAAACGGCACCCAGAAGGAATCAGTTGGCTGCGAGGTACTGTTTGTTTTCTCGGGGCACGAAGGCTCGATATTTGGCGTTCATATTTCGCCTGAGATAGTCACGAGTTCGGGGGAAACGATCAGACTGCTCGCAAGTTGCAGCGACGATCGGACAATACGGATCTGGGATATTACAGAACGAAGTCACGAACCTATGAATGGCGATAACAAGTACGGAACACAGATCTCCGATGCGAGACAAACCGGGTTTGGTGACTCTATTGTCGGCTCGATGGGGCTAGTTAATAGCCAGTCAAGGTGTGTTGCGATGGCTATGGGCCATATATCCAGGATATGGCAAGTCGAGATTAGAAGTCCAAGTTCACTTTCTAGGGGTGATGTGGTTGAAGTCTATTCATTTGGAGAAGATGCTACGATGCAAAAGTGGCATCTCAAACTAGACGCAGGGTTAGAATCGACTTCGTCCAGTCGGCCTCCCTCCAGCTTGATCCACCACGAGACTTTTTCTAATCACAACGGGAAGCAAATTTGGTCCCGCGCTATGCTTGCTACTGAAGATAGTCTTTTAATAGCTACTGGTGGAGGAGATGGCAAAATTGCTCTCATGGAGCACGGCTCCGATTATCCGCCAAAGACCTTGAACGACGTAACAGACGACGCTGGCCATTATCAGCGGTCGATCCAAGAACTTGATATATCCCCAATGTCCCTTATCGAAAAATGCCAACATCAAAACATTGGAACTGACTCTTCTCTTTCGTCCTTTAAGCATGGAAATGGAAAGGAGACGTTTCAAAGCTTCGCATTCATCACAGACGACAGATTACTCATCACGACAAGGTCAGGCCGCCTGTTTCTCGGTAGCTTCGATGATAAGACTGAATGGCAAGAGCTCGCAATCACTGATACTATTCGGAAGACCATACAATCATACACGATCCTTAGAAGTTCAAGAAGAGCCGCGACGGCTTTCATTGGGGCTCCTAACGGGGAGTTATTTTATTATAATGAGATCAGTGGCGACTCGCTCCAGTCATTCCACAAAGCAGAACGAAAGATCACGGAAATCATTTGTCTTTCTGATACATATTCCGACTCCGCTAGAGAACTGAATAATCATATCGAACTTCTTGTAACAGTGTTTGGAAGCACGAAGGCGGAACTTCTCCGTCTCGATCAAAATCGCACTTTGATACAACGAACCGAGGTCGTAGTGCCGGATGGTTTCATCGTGACTAGCGCCGCATGGTGTCACAACTACCTTATCCTCGGCTCTAGGAACGGGAGCATATCAGTCTTTGACTTGGCTACCAATGGGGGACAAGCTCCTATCCTCACCATAGAAGTTAATGTCGGCGATAAGGTCACCTCTATTCTCCCTTTACCGCGGCAATCCGGGCGCTCGGCGCTTTACTTCCTCACGACTGCCCGCGACGGGAAATATAGGATCTACGAGATCCTCAACACGACAAATGACTTCCAGCTCCGCTTACTTCACGAAACAAGACCGCCCTTCGGGCCCCTGATCGAAGGGTCCTGGCTCTTCGACAAGCCAGACGGAAAACGCGATCTCATGCTTTGCGGCTTCCGCGGTAAGGACTTTGTAGTCTGGAACGTGACGCAACAGCGCGAGGTTGCGACGATTGACTGCGGCGGCGGACATCGAATATTCGACCAAGTGCAGATCGGGGGAAACCCCGAAGGTCTTAGGTTCGCCTGCACCAAGGCGTCGCAGATGAAGATCTTCTCGCAAATCCGCGCTCCGCATCTCCCGCTGAAGACGGGCGGGCACGGCCGCGAGATCAAGGCTGTCTCGGCTTCGGGGAAGTACGTCGCCACTGGTGCTGAGGATACCATGATCCGTATATGGGAGCTTCGCGATAGTAATCGAGGAGAGCAGCAGCTACGCTGCGTGCTTGCATTGGAGAAGCACAATACCGGTATCCAGAAGCTGAAGTGGTCTAACGATCAATACCTCTTCAGCAGCGGCGGCAACGAGGAATTCTTCGTATGGCGCGTTACGGCGCTCGAAAGTGACGTTTGTCCGCTTGGCGTCGTGTGTGAGGCTGTATTCCCTGACCGTTCCGAAGTGGGCGATCTGCGAATCACGGATTTCGACGTGCAGTGTTTGACTCAGGATGCCAATAATGAAGCTGACGGCAACGACATCGTATCAGAAGAGTCGCGGACGAATCCCAAGTTCTGCATCTCTATGACGCTCTCGAACTCTACGGTGCAGACTTATCTCTACTCTGCAGAGCCGGGTTTCCAGCTGTTAGGCAGGCGGACGTATACCGGCGCCTGCCTCACACAACTTCGACATCTAAATTTCGCAGATGGATGTTATCCACAAGTTCTGACAGCTGCTACTGATGGCCACTTAGCTGTATTTACAGATATACGATCTTCCGCGGACGAGGCCCAGGAATCGGAAGACATATTCATCACGAAACTCCACCAGAGCACTATTAAATCACTAGACATGCACAGCATCACCACAGATACCGGAACGTCGTACCTAGTCGTAACAGGCGGCGACGACGATGCGATCGGTGTGGTCCATCTATATCGCTCCACGGGAGAAGCAAGTCAGTACGAGATCCGAAATAGATCCATTGTGCGCTCTGCGCATGCCGCCGCGGTGACGGGTCTGGGAATAGTACGGCTTGAGAACGGAGAGCGGGATGCGGTAGTCGTCACCGCGAGTAATGACCAGCGGGTCAAGACGTGGCGGCTTGTTGACTGGCAATCTGCCTCTTTGCGGGCTCACTTGCTTGATGATCGATATAGTGGTGTTGCGGATGCTGGGGACTTGGAGGTCATCAGAGAGGGCCGTATAGATGGGGGTCAAAATATACTAGACAAGAAAGATGGAGGGAGGGTTCTAGTCGCTGGTGTTGGTATTGAGGCTTGGGATGTTTCTTGATAGTACACAGAAATTAGACATACTACCGGATAAAAGAAGGCAATAAGCATATATGGTGCTTTCTATCAAACGAAGTCCAAGTATTTCGCCATAATCATAATGTATTGACTAACCCTAGCTCATTCGAAGAATACCTTTCTTGCAAGTTGGAAGACTCTGTTCAAGGTTAATTTTGCAAAGGCCTCTAGTACTCTAGGCCGTGTTACTGAGGGATAAATTCGCGATAAGGTGGAAAGCTCGAACACATTAGATAAAGTATAAGATCTGACATCTTCTATCGCTATGTATCTTCGAAAAAGATGACTACGAATTCGTAGAAACTAGTGTCATTCTACCATATTATCGTGGTACTCTGTGCGCCCGTCTCCTGTTTATATCGTGAGACCAAGCATTAGAGCACCATGGCGTGCGGTGATATATGTTTATTAGATGACATATCTCGTGAAGTCTTCGTGGTCTAGTTGGTCAGGACGTTTGTCTTACACACAAAAGATCCCCGGTTCGAGCCCGGGCGAGGACATCAATTTTGCATATCTGTGGACGTTGATCCAGTAGCCAAACAACATTATTTTTACGTAGTAATCAAAGCATAACTACATCCTGGGAAGCGGCTACGGCAGTATCTTATCTTTTGGTCTCCCCATCTTATCGCCAATCGACCTCAGATGTGGGGCATATTGTTTAACTAATGCGCTACCAGCGGGCGAGACAGCTCCAAGTAAGCAAAGCTTGTTATAAGACCTACTATAAAAATGAGCCACGTAGCAGCCCGAGCTCTGCTACGCCAGGGACTTGCCCAATCTCAAGCGGGGAGAACGTAGGTCTGCTCAATTGACTCGCTCATTGTCCTCGCTCACACTACAATAGCAGCTATGATGTAGTTCGTGCAACGATATGCCAGCGCTGTGAGCGAAAACTCCCCGCGCCTGTCGGTGCGAGGCCACCACTACACCTTTCTCTCGGCACACGAGCCTTCCATGCGTCTCCCATATCTCATAAGAAGAAGAAAGAAGAGACCCAGAAACATACGCGAGGGAAGTCAGCCGAGAAACCGGCCAAGAGTACCAGCACCAGTACCGACGCAGACGACGGACCGAAACATCCCCAACCGTCCCCCGACGAACCCCTCGACTTCGCAGATGTCGAGTCCCGCCTACAGAAGCATGCAGAGCACTTCAATTCGTTGCTAAAGAAGGTGCGAACGGGAGGACGGTTCGACCCAGACGTGGTAGGCGCACTGGAGGTGACGGTGGACAAGAAGACCGGGGAGGTGTACCCGCTACGGGAGCTGGCGCAGGTGGTGCCGCGCGGGGGAAGGGCGGTGTCGCTGCTGGTGCACGAGGCCGGGTACGTGAAGCCCATCATGAGCGCCGTGCAGGCGAGCCCGGACTTCAACCAGCAGCCGCAGCGCGACCCGGACAACGAGCTCGAGCTGGTCCTCAAGATCGAGCCCGAGAAGCGCGACGAGCTCGTCAAGAGGGTGAAAGCCGTCGCCCACGAGTGGCGAGAGCGCATACGCGCCGTCCGCCAGAAGAGGGACAAGCTGCATGCTACCTGGAAGAAGGACGGCGTGATAGGCCCTGACCTCAAGAGGACCACCGATAAAGAGCTTGAGAAGATCATCAAGACCACTATTGCTGGGGTCGATGAGGCGGAGAAGAGCACTATCAAAATCGCCGAGTCGAAATAGAACGATCTGTTTATTGGCTCGTCATGTAGACTTTACGAATGATGTGTGCTTGAGTGCATTAGCATTGTGTTGCCTAGGAACAACCTTTTCGTACCAGAGACAATATAAAAGAGGATACCAGGTGTGTTATACATTATATAGTTGCTCTTTTACAAAGTCGTATGATACAATTGGATGTTAGAGCCGTATTCTAGCTGTCTCATGGGCACATTCATCCTCGATGTTTCATGTCTTCGATTTTCGTTTTCTCAAGCTTTCTCCGTCATCAAGGGCTTGTCCTGGCTCCATCGGCAGCCTTCGCAGGCTCCGTTCCCCCACCTGGTAATAGACTCTTGATCTTCGCCTCGATACGCCGCTGTGCATCTGCATTCCATGTAGCGTCTCTCTTCACATAATTCCGCACGACAGCAAGCGTATCCCCAAGTTCAACATACTGTGGGCCATCGTACGTGCCGAGCAGCGCATCCTGGAGAACCGCGTCCTTGGTCTCTTTGGGGACTGGCGGGAAAGCTTCCAACCCCATCGTGTCCGCCGACCACTTCTTCACTTCCTCCGTGGGGAAAAATACGCCTGTGCCCTTATTGTACTGCGTCCACAAGTTGTCCGATTTTAGGGTATGGAGAGGGTGGAAGGCCTGTCCGCCGCCGAGGATGCGCGCCTGGCGCAACACGGTCTCGTCTTTCGCGAAGCTCGACTTGGCCGTCACTACGGCGGGGCCCCAGCCCACGAGATCGCTTATCGAGATCGAAGGGTCGAACTGGTGTAGCGAGCCTCGTTCCTTGGCCTCCCGCATGGCGAGGACCTCGGGGGACCAGTCGTCTTCCCCCTTGACTTCTTCATCCTGCTCTTCTTTCTGTCCTCGTTTACGCCCACCCCGTCCTCCCCCACCACGGCCACGGCGTGCCGGACCCATCCCACCACCGCCTATTCCACCCCTACCTGCCATCCCGCCGCGGCTGAAACCGCCTCTGCCTCTGAAGCCACCTCGTAGACCGCCACGGATGATGTTAGGACCGCCGGGTGAGGAAGCGCGCGGAACTGTAAGGGGGGCGGAGTCGGACCGCAGGTCGAGTTTCCTGAAGATGGTATTTGATTGTTGTCGAGGGGGTCGTGGTGAGGTTCCGTTGTTCATCTCTACGAGGTCGGAGAAGGCGGCAGCGGCACGTTGCCTTCCAGTCGGTCGTCCATTGTTGCCGTCTTGGGGCGCCGCGGCAAGATGCTGGGCGGTGGAGAATGCGCGCAGAGACGCCGCGATTCCCTCTGTGACCCGACTTACATCAGCTCTCGTGCGGCCGAGGGCCGAATTGAATGGTTGGCGTATCATCATGCTCGAGCTTGGTCCGAAATTTTGAGAACGAGACCTCGTAAGAAACCTTTTGGGGGTTTTTACAAGAAACTATTCGCTAAATGGGGTTTATCACTTAACTGGGGTTAAGCACAGGGATCAATATAAGCACTTATATGGAACTACAATTTGAGCTAAGACACTGGAATCGTTGTACATACTCAACAGGGTCAGCTAGAAAAACCGAAACTACCTAAGTTTAATAAATGGGACTTAAGTCTCTTGGTTGTTGAGATATTAAAGTTGGAAGATTCAAGGCTGACCTGTTAAATCCCCCTGCCCGTTACATGCCCGACACGCAGGACAAGGACTTCGAATCACTCTCTTCTGATGTCCCTAGCGGCCCGTCTCATTTGACCATTGAGTTTACCCAATATGTCCATATTTGACTGAAGCGTGGCAAGCAGCTGGGTCGGAGTAGCAAAATTTCGGATAAGGTCATGAAGGGCTGGAGTGAAGGGCATAGAGCTTTGGCCATACTACCTTGATCTTCGTGTTAAAGAGCGGCTGTCAAGATTGGCCAGAACCCATCTAGGCATAAATGAGATACAGAAGAATGCTCCTGGCTTTTATGAGCATATAGTTTAGTTGAAATTTGCAATATAGTAATAGGCCCATTCCGATCATAGCAACTATTCCCAATATCCCAATATACTATAGTACCTAGTAGGCCTTCATATTCTGATTCGGTTTGATTATGTGCACAGGGGTTATACTTTGTAAGACTATTCTCCCTTTAGGAGCAGTGTGGACTGAAAGCTAACTCTGCAGCGGCTTGCCCATACCACCATATGTGATCATCTTAATATGCTGGTATTCCTCTATACCATATTTGGACCCCTCTCTGCCAAACCCAGACTGCTTGACACCTCCAAACGGCGCAGCTGCGTCAGAGATAAGGCCAGTGTTGACGCCTACCATGCCAACCTCCAGTGTTTCTGCCACCCGGTTTATCCTCTCCAAATCCCTCGAGAAAAAGTAGCCGGCTAATCCGACCTCAGCAGCGTTCGCCAAATCAACAACTTCCTGCTCGGTATCAAAGGGGAAGAGGCCGGCAACAGGGCCGAACGTCTCTTCGCTCGCGATCGCCATGTCCTTTGTCATGCCCGTAATCACGGTAGGCTGATAAAAGTTAGACCCGAGGTCCGGCATCTTCTGGCCACCGACGACCACTTTTCCACCTTTCTGCTCCGCGTCTCTCACATGAGCATCGACCTTGGAAACAGCGCGATCGTGGATCACGGGACCGTGTGTAACGCCTTCGTCAAAACCGTGGCCTACTTTGAAGCCCTTAACTTTCTCAGCGAATTTCTCAGCAAATTCGTCATAAATGCCTTTCTGGACATAAATACGATTTGCGCAAACGCATGTCTGGCCTGATGAGCGGAACTTAGACGCGATGGCGCCGGTAACCGCAGCATCGACGTCGGCATCATCAAACACAATGAATGGCGCATTCCCGCCTAATTCCATAGATAAGATTTTTAGAGTTGACGACGCCTGCTTCATCAAAAGCTTTCCAACGCCCGTAGAGCCTGTAAAGGAGACTTTCTGAACGGTAGGGTGCGTCGTTAAAGTCTCGCCAACTTCGGGAGTAGTTTTCAAGGCGGTTATGACATTCACAACGCCCTTCGGTATCCCGGCTCGGTGCGCAAGTTCTGCCAGTGCTAGTGATGTGAAGGGCGTCTCGCCTGGGGCCTTGCATACTGTCGTGCAACCTGCAGCAAGGGCAGGACCGATCTTGCGCGTAATCATCGCGGCAGGGAAATTCCATGGCGTTATCAGCCCGCAGACACCCACGGGCTGCTTCAGCGTCACCACTCTGTTACCAGGCACGGTCGCCGGTATCGTGTCGCCGTATGCCCGAGGAGCCTCTTCGCTGAACCATTCGAAGAACTGTGCGGCGTAGTTCACCTCGCCTTTTGCGTCCGCGAAAGGTTTGCCGTTCTCCAGAGTGATCAATCGCGCCAAATCCTCCGAATTCTCCATGACCAGGTCGTACCATTTGCGTAACAACTTAGACCGCTCGCGGCCGGTCTTCGTGCGAAAGGACTTGAATGCCTCGGCGGCAGCGGCGATGGCCTTCTCGGTGTCTTTTGCATCGAATTCCGGGCAAGTTCCGATAAGCTTTCCTGTCGCGGGGTCGTGAACCTCGAACGTCTTGCCTGAGGCAGCTTTTACCCATTCGCCATTCACGTAGCACACATCCGTCTTAAATAAAGACGGGTCATTGAGCTATAATCATTCAGTCGATGAGTCAATCCCTTTCCAATACCAATACGAAGCACTTGTGACTAGAGAAAGCTCACCTTTGGGGCCATTGTGGACGCTAATCTTGAAGTTACTATCGGAAGACTGGTTCTCTGGAATTGCGATCTAACAGCGAACCGCGTGGCCGATGCAGCGCCTTTTTGTAGGGTGCGTATCAACACCATGACGCACAATCACGATTCGATCAATTGATAGGGTAGGGTGTGTTTCGTGA